ATCCGACCTTTTTTAGATAATACAGCTGGTCCCAAGTCCACAGAGCGGACAATTTTCCGCTTGGGTGGTTGTGGAGGGATTGCTTCTTAAAATCCCAAGAGTGTTTTACATTAATTCCAAAGCTCCTATAGATGGAAAATTCCCGGGAAAGTGTGTCAACAAGATTCTTCCTCATGGCAGGCCTTGTTATCATATGATTGAGGCATGCTTTTATAACAACTATGCATCTTTCCCCTTGAATTCCTTCGAGTTAGTTATAATTCTGTTTATTTCTTTACAGGTTGAGATTCAGGAACAACAATTTAGAAAAGAGAGCAAGAAGCTTGAAGCTCTTCTTGCAGACCCTGAAATTGAGGTGAGATATCTTAATAAAGTAAAATACAGTAGTTGTCAGAAGCCCAACCTTCTATCGAGTACCCATCTATATGGCTTAAATGTGGAAAAAACTTTTCTTTGTTTGGCTAACCATTAATTCTGGTTAATATACAACTTGTACATGCTGTCTGCGATTTTGAAAATGTCTATGTAAAATTTGGCTGCATAAAGTATACTGGGTGACGAAAATTCTGGAGATAGAGTTCACAGGCGATGGTAGCTATACTATCTCGATTATGTGTACGTGTGTGCTGGCCATGCTCTTTAATTTGTTATTTGAATGAACTGTAAATGGGGACCGGTGGCTTATCAGCACGGTGGGAATTGAACCTTTGTTCTGATGCTTACTGACACTGAGCCAGATAATCACCAGGCAACTAGTTGGTGATCATGCATGTCATTTGATTTTGCACAAGGAGAATACCATGTTTGTGCTTGCTAACCTCATATGACATTGGCAGGGTATATATGAAACAAAGGTGCCGCTGGAGTTTAGTGCTATATGTCAGATTGGATGTGTATGCAAAATGGATGGATGGATGGAAAGTTGGTGAACTTCATATGAAAACTACGACTGAATGCCGCTACTTGGAGCGATCAATTCCACTTCTTTACTTGTAGAAAACTAAGTAACCTGCGACCCCTTTTCTGTTGAAGTTTCTACTACACGCAGTTTGAGTTGAAGGAAGGCTTTGATGTTAATTTTGTTCAGTGCATTTCTTAGTCACAATCTTATAGTGTTTACATGTCTACGTTTCACGTCATATTATTCGATCATTTTGTTTAATTCTGTTGCTTTCACAAATAGGCTCCTTTTTACATAGTGATTGTTTCATGGATCCATTCGATAATACCTTATCTCATGCTTCGCTTGTTTGCAGCACCTCAACACAACGTGCTATATATGTTTCATATTGTCCTGCATCGAAGCTTATGTCTGCCGTGGTAGTTAATCCTTATGGCGACAAGGAGTTATTACCATCTGCCCTAGAGAGACAGTTTAGAGATGGCTGCCAAGAATTGTCACTCGAGTCATTGTCTTGGGATGGCATCGTTTTTCAGGATAGCTCTAAAACCGTTGCGTACAACCCCTTGAATAACAATCCTGCACTTTTCAAGCTTTTCTGAATGCTTATTATCATATTATCAGGTGGACTATGTTGACCACGTCGAAGCTGCAGAAAAGATTATACAAAAAGTGATAAGTGAATACAGGTAACTCGTATTCCTGATTACAACTGTGCAACCTGTTTATGTTTCTATGACTTGACGAACCCATAGTTTTTCTAATGCTGATCAGTTGGGCATGGTTTTCTTAATTATTTTTTTTCCCGCGCGAATTAGTTCTTTCGCTTACTTCTATCTGACAAACTGTATAAGTTAACTGCTGAATATAATTTTCTTTTGATTGTATGGTGTGAAAAATGACGGATTTTGAACTTCTCTTGCAAGGCAATATCAAGTCATCCCACTTTGGTTTGACTTTTCCCATTTTTTCCTTTCTTGCAGAGAAGAAAATTCTGGACCAACTGTTGCAGTCATCGAATAGTTATCAGGGAGAGTATAAAAGCCTTGGACGATTTCCCATGTGTGAGGATTCCCTTCAACGGCGATGACAATAGTTATCAGGTTCCTTGATTAATCGCTACTTTTTTTCTCTTTTTTTTCTTCTGCACGCTAGACGTTCATTGGATCAACTAATGATAAATGTGTTTGCGATGCACAGCCTGTCTCTTGGCAACGTCCGGCAGCAAAATTAGCAATGTTCCGTTGTGCTGCAGCATTCCAGTGGTTGGATCGGAGGATTTCCCAGTCAAGATATGCCCATATAGGTTATGTTTGTAAATTGGAACTGTAGTTCTTCATAATGTTGCTTTATTGCAGCTATTGACATTTCCTATGCAACTGATTAGGTGCCTTTGGGGAATTTTGGTCTAGATTGGTTAGCATTCACAGTTGATATCTTCCTGTCCAGGGCACTCCGTGACCAGCAGCAGGTTCTTTCTTTGACTTTCCGTCTACCTTCCAAGTGTTATCATAGTACAACTACTACATTTGCATTTTTGCTCTTGCTCTGTGCGTACAGCTTCAAAACTATATGCCTGAAACCTTGGCAAAATGATTCTCTCCAGATCACTGATTATGACTCTGAAATGCCTATTATGTATTCAATAGAGAAGCAGCTTTTCCATATCTTTTGATTTTTATTTGTATAATAGGTTCTTTGGGTGTCAGATAATGGTGTTCCAGACCTTGGTGGTCTAAACAATGAAGAGACATTCTTTGCTGATGAGGTATGTCAAATGATTTTTCCTTTTTCCTTTTAGGTTTTGTGGGCTTTGTTAAGAACTTCGTCCACCTCCATGTTTTTTTTAGACTATCATGGTTATAACTTATAACTAGGATGCTTCTTTTGTCCCAGGTTCAACAGACAAGTTTGGTATATCCTGGAGCGTATAGAAAAGTTTCTGCGGAGTTAAAGGTCAGAAATTTTTTTTGCTTTAATCTTTTTTATTTGTTTTTTTTTTCTAACCTACAATCATCGTGCAGATCCATCACTTGGCTGTTAATGCCCTACTGAAAAGCAACCTGGTGAGTGAGATGGAAGGGGGTGACTTTTTGGGATTTGAACAGGATGGGAATTCTAGAGGAAGTAGTTCGAACGTTAACGCCAGTTTTGATAAGACCACTGGATGTGCTCAGGCATTTCGAGTCCTGAAACAGTTGATTCACAGTTGCTTGACTGATGTGTGTAAATGACGCAATATATATACTGAAACAATTGATTCACAGTTGCTTGACTGATATGTGTAAATCACGCAATATATATGCTGATTCCATTTTGCAGCGTTTGTCTTGGTGGCTCTGCAGGTATGGTTACGTCATATCCTGTACATATTCGCTTTAACTCATTAAATACCAATCAGTAATTTCATATTGTAGCCCTTGCTGGAAGCTTCATGATCCAGCTATTACGTCATATCCTGTACATATTCGCTTTAACTCATTAAATACCAATCAGTAATTTCATATTGTAGCCCTTGCTGGAAGCTTCATGATCCAGCTATTCATCTCATGCTTCACAAGGTATGCAACAGCCTGACAGTTAATGATTTGTGTTTTTTATAAGGTATAAATTAGTTGGTGCTATAAATGCAGCAAACAATATTAATTTCTCCTTTGCATCTCTGTATGATTCTTTTTTCATGCAACTCTTTTTTCAGCTCTATTGCTTACAAATTATATCTGGTTTTTGCAGTATGCTTGTCATAGGCTATAAATCCCAATGCAGCCTTAAGTTCTTGATATATGCCTATTACATTCACATTTTATTTGCTTATGAACTTCTAAATGCATTTGATATCTTGTGGTTTTCATCAATATTGTAGATCATGCAAAAGGTGTTTGCGCTGCTTTTTACTGATTTGCGGAGATTAGGTGCTACAATAATATTTGCAGACTTCTCAAAGATCGTCATCGACACAGGGAAATTTGATCTATCTGCTGCGAAGGCTTATTGTGACAGTTTGCTCACAGCTGTGGGGAACAGGTTTGTTTCTTCGTTGCCTAATATATACGTCTATAATTTTAATCTCTTGTGAACTTTACTCATTTTCTGTCACTGTTTCTAAATCCATTGCCACTGACAGCGATATCTTTGAGTGGATCTCGCTCGAACCGGTTCACTACTGGCACTCATTACTTTTCATGGACCAGGTTGGATCTCTTATGTCTTATACTTTGCTCTTTATTTCCAATATCTGATTGCCAAACACTGCAAAGTTTGTTTTAAACTAAAAAATTGTGAAGCCGTGAACACAAAATCGACCCTCAACCATGGAACCTGCAATGCATGCAGGGTTCCGGTTAAAAAACAAAATGGGCCAACGAACTAAAACTGATAAGTAAAAATATTTTCTTTTCGATGGTTGAGAAATTATATCAAAGCTGCAGTACGAAAATTTCATCCTCCTTCATTAGTTCTTGTCTTTTTGTTTGGTTTTGTCAACACCTCCGTCAGTTCTTAATCTCGTCTTTTCTCAATATTTTTCCCTAATCGAGATGTATCTTTTCTTCAACATTTTAGTATAACTACGCTGGTATCCGAGCTACCGACGATGAAATTTCACCTGACGAAGTGACTATTGAACCAAAGTGGAGTGTTGCTCGACTGTTCCCTGAGTATATTCAGGTTTGCATACAGATCCCTCACTCAAACCAATGATCATTTAGCAGAACTTAAACACTTGTGTCCGCGCATAACTTTTTAATTTTTGGACACTCATGCATTTCATCTGTCTTGGCAGAGGGATTTCATCATAATTGTTGCCAAGTTTATATTTGAACCGTGGAAATTAGCATTAGACAAAAAGAGGCAGTTCAGAGAGTTTAGAGGCACAGATGGTAGAATATCTAAAGGAACAGGTAGTCTTAAAGCCAATTCTTTTTATATATTTTTCATCCTCTCAAAAAAATGGTCTCATGTTTCTGTAATGCAGATACCATCCAACTTCTATAATATGCTTCATACAAAAATCAATGATATCATGACACACATGAAGGAGATGGACGTTTCAGATGCATCTCGGGATTCTAGTCAAGCTCCCAAAAGAGATTACACGTTAAAGTTCATACAAACTATCTGTGCTGTTCTGGCTCTTGACCAAAGTGTCGAGCACGATGTTCTGGTAAATACCCTACTCATTCCTTTTTCTCTTTAACTGATACCGATTCTGTTTGATAACCATATTGTGTAATTCACACCTATCCTTCCAAAGTCTTGTTACTGAAACTATGTATACGAGGAACTAGGTATTTTTCATATTGTTGTTGACTATTATATCTTCACATGTTTTTTTTCTAGACATAAAATCTTGCTGACATAATTTTTCCCTAATAGTTAATGAGAAAGAATCTGTTGAAGTACATCAACGTAAGAGAATATGCTGCTGAAGCCGAATTTCTTGATCCTGGACCCTCCTTTATCCTGCCTAATGTGGCTTGCAGGTATTACTTGACCAAAAGGTTATGCTCAGTTTTCGTGATTCAAATATGCATTGTGGTGACTTGCTACATCTAGTTAATAGATAAATAGCTTTACTCAGTTTTCTTATGACCACTAGCTTAATTGGAAAACCAGAAATCCCTGCCAATTCCCTGCTTTTCATGGCATACCCTTGTGAGTCATTTATAGCAAAAACGTAGTCCGTTTGCAACCGCAGGATGCGTTTAGTCACATTAAATGATGCTTTTAGTCACATTAAAAGAAACCAAACTTGTCTTCGACTTCCCAAACCCTAGAAAATAGAAGATGAGTAGTACCTTTATCTCAATCCCAAAGGCATACCTATTGTGTTTCAATTTCTTGACTGAGTTCTGTTGTACTGTTTTTTTGTTTCCTGCTGCAGCAACTGCGATGCCTACAGAGACCTAGATATAGGCAGAGACCCAGCTCTATTAACAGAGAAAGAATGGTCATGCGTAGATTCACAATGTGGGAAGATATATGACAGAGAGCAGATGGAGAATAGTCTTCTCCAGATGGTGAGACAGAGAGAAAGAATGTACCACATGCAGGATCTAGTTTGCATTAGGTGCAATCAGGTGAAAGCCGCTCATTTGACAGAGCAATGTGAGTGTTCTGGATCCTTTAGATGCAAGGAGAGCGGGTCTGAGTTCCTCAAGAGGATGGAGATTTTCTTAGATATAGCAAAGCGTCAGAAGTTTAAACTCTTAGAAGAATGCACATCTTGGATTTTAGATCCCACCGGAAGCTGGCAAACCAATACCGGAAGACACCATTCATAGGTTATAGGATCATGCGTAGATTTATTTACAGCATATATGCTCATGATGATGTTATGGGCTAAAAGTATTGTTTTCATTGCATTTGTCAGCAACAGACTTATTGCAGACGTAACTTGCGATCTTGGCTCATTAGTTCTTTAAAATAGTATGTGACAATATTTGATATGTAATAGATAGTTGGATTATGAATATATACCTCTGGAAATAATCTGGTCACCAATCATTCCAGTCTTTTTATCAAATTACAGACATAATATGACAAAATTGATGAATCCATAACAAACTCAATTTTTTCAAGAAAAGAAAAAGTGACATAAGTGCAGAACGTGGGAAGACTGATCCACTTAACACAAAAAAAAAGAAAAACACAAAATAACATAGTAATAATACTCTGATAAATCACTGATCAACGAAAACTGATCAACGAGTTCGTGAAGAAGAACGGATGCCACGTTTCCTGTAGACATCGAGCCTCAAACGCCAGCCTCCCCAAACACCTAAACGTTTCTTGAGCAGTGCAAATCTCTTCTTCTTTTTTCTCTTCATCTCAGAAGGTCTCCAATGCTCACCCTGGATACTCAATGACCTCGTAGACTCGTCATAGACACGTCTAATGATTGCTCTAAGCTCAGAAGGCTTACCACACCGAAACTTGACCAAGTCTCTGTAGACAATGTAAACAACAGCGTTTGTGGAGTTGATTCTCGGCGGCTCTGCATCATCGAGACTTCCAATGGTCGCTTGGAGAATATGGAAATCAGAGAGCTCACTCTGCCAGGAAAAAAAAACACATACAAAAACAGTTAAGTTTCATGATCATCAAATAGTTAATTAAGCAAACAACGAACAAAGAAAACAAAAACTAACCTCAGACATACTCCTATTCGTGGTACAATGTAAAAGATCGAGGTATAAACGAACCCAAGGAGTATTTCGCAGCTCTTGTTCCTCCAACTATAAAAAGAAAAAACCCAAAACCCAATGAAAGAAAGCAAAATGGTGTAATAGTTGTTAACTAATGAATTGTTTTACCTTGTAAAAAAGCTGGGTATCAGTAATCATCTCTGAGGAGGGCCAAGGAGGCAGAGGTAAACCAGGTTCGCAGCATCGTCTGCGGAGTGGAGGCGGCTCCTCTAAACCCTGAGGTCTAGCTATGTCGACTGAGATTTCTAAAAATCCAAGAACGTGTTCACAAACTAGAGCCTGGAATGGTTGAAACTGCCAAGAAGCTGGATCGAACGCTACCATGGTAAGAAAGTAGGGGGCAGCACAGGGAACCATTCCCTTGTTGAAACTCTTTAAGCTAAAGAGTTCCCAAGCAGTACCCTGTAATCTCAAAGTATGAGAAAATAATAAACTGATAAAAAAAAATTCAAAATATGATTACTACCTCCAACAGATTGTAACGATGAATCCCCAACTCGGCAAAACGATAGACCATGGCACGATTTGAAACCCAAGGAATATCGTACTCATAGTCAAAGTACTTCAACCGTGTGCCATACTTGGTTATCNCAAGCAGTACCCTGTAATCTCAAAGTATGAGAAAATAATAAACTGATAAAAAAAAATTCAAAATATGATTACTACCTCCAACAGATTGTAACGATGAATCCCCAACTCGGCAAAACGATAGACCATGGCACGATTTGAAACCCAAGGAATATCGTACTCATAGTCAAAGTACTTCAACCGTGTGCCATACTTGGTTATCCTACCAAAGCCCTAATTAAGGAAAAAGTTTTAGCAAATTTAGGTTTCAAAATCAATAGTAAAAAAAAAATGAATTTAGCTTTAAGACTTACATCAAAGGGACGATCACTCACAGAAGAGTCACCTTGTGAATCGATCATCAGCTCGGGGTAATATCTCCTTCATTCACATAAAAAAAGAAGAAATTCAATCAAGACCATCCGTCAAACAATTGGAGCTAAACCCTAGATAACGTAGAATACACTTACGGATCGTTTTCCACAGAGTAATCATCATCAACCTGTCAAGCAAACCAATCGGATAGTCTTTCAGAACTTTTACCGCACAATAAGCATCAACTTTAATACTCTGCCCAATACTATTTCCAAGTTCCAAACTCTAAGAAATTACGGATATTGGTTCTCACTTGTCCTTTTCACAGGACGCAAAGTAATTGTTATGTATGGTCCACAAAAACAGCACCAATGAATGTACATAAATTCCACTTAGTTCTCAATCCTAAAAACGTTTGTCTAAGCTAAAGTAGAAGGAGAAATTTCATGATGTGAACTCTACCTCCATGGGATCAGAAGATGACGGTTTCCCGGAGTTGATAATAGCCTGGAACATCAAAATGAAATACCGAATATTGTCTGTCATCAAACAGAGAGCATTCTCTTACTTAATATAAGCAAAAGAGTTATAGATAGTGGCACCTCGATTGCTAAACTTTCCTCTCGTGTTAGGCCCACCAGTGTTGAAGTCTCTGGTTCTTCCGTAGCATCTGGCACTTTTTGACTCTCCTCAACCTCCTCTTCAGCTTCCTTAGATGAAAACAAAGCCGCAGCTTCATCTCTCTCCTGTAAGGAAAGAGTGTTTGTAAGGTCTCAGGAAGATATTATGGTTAGGATCGTGTAAAACTTGAGATGCAGCAAAAGCAGTAATTTTTAACTTGGCATTTAGAAAAAGGGATGACACAGTGGATAAAGCAGCACAAAAATAAGATCCTCACCTTGTCTTCGACACTGATGAAATCCAGTAATTGAAGTGATTTTATCTTGTGAATCACATGAAGGCGATAGTTCGGCTTTTTGGTGATATCGTTATCCACTAAACTAAGGCCCTGAAGATTGGGAATGGAGGCAAGGGGATCAATATCAACCAAATTCACAAGCTTGTTATTTGTAAGAACCAAAGTGTGCAGCTTCGGCAGGAACTCTGCAAAAGAAGAAGAGCAACCATAAGATATACACAACACGCTTAATCAACGAAGCAAACAATGCATTCCGTTTTATCAGGATAGTTAGTTACCTCCGATATTAGGATTTATCTGGGTGATCATATTGTTTCTAATGATCAAAGCTCCCAAGCGGTTGAGGAGTGGAAAGTTTTCTAGCTTAACTATCTCATTATCAGATAGATCAATAGTATCAAAATGGTCCTGCAAGCAAATCAAACACAAAGTTAATTAGCAAACAGATTAAAAGCAATCCAGTACAACTAGACGGTACCTCAGTAGCATCCAAATTCTCGATTACGGGAATCTTGTTGCCTGCAACAAAAACAGAGGATTAGCGAGGGCAGATGCGTTTAGGGTTAAATAAACCCTATAACGGTAAAGGGAACGATAAAAAGCTAACCTCGTAGGTCCAACCGTTCCCGACCCAAGAGGATGATACGAGGACTACTGCGGATCAAATCAGCCGTGAGCTTCCCCATTAGGGTTTTACTGCTTCTCCTTGGCTCTCTCTGCTCTTCGCGGAACAAATGCAGAGGAAAGAGATGGGTGTTGGGTGTTGAAAGAACTCATAAAACGCACACATCTCTTTAATATTATCACGGCCCATTGGGCTTTTGGGTTGGTAACAAAAACAGTTCAAAACAAAAGGACACGTACTCGATTCTGTGTTTTCTTCCTCTACCCTATTCTAATCTAGGGTTACTCTCTCTCCTCCGTGCTCCGTTCTGCCGATTTGCGCGAGCATTACCTTCACAAGCTTGAGTGCGTTGGGGACAACCAAAACAGTTGAGCGAAGATGAGGATTATGATCAAAGGAGGTGTGTGGAAGAACACCGAAGATGAGATCCTCAAAGCCGCCGTCATGAAGTACGGCAAGAACCAATGGGCTCCAGTCTCCTCTCTTCTCGTTCGTAAGTCCGACAAACAGTGTAAAGCTCGCTGGTACGAGTGGCTCGATCCTTCTATCAAAAAGGTTAGTGTTTAGTCGCTTGTTTAGATCTGAGAAAATTATGTTTGTTTTGATGTTAATGTAGACTGAATGGAGCAGAGAAGAAGATGAGAAGCGTCTACATCTCGCGAAGCTTCTACCTACTCAGTGGAGAACCATCGCTCCTATTGTGGGACGCACGTGCCTTGAGAGGTACGAGAAGCTTCTTGACGCAGCTTGCACTAAGGACGAGAATTACGAAGCAGCGGATGATCCGCGGAAGCTACGACCTGGCGAGATTGATCCCGACCCGGAGTCAAAGCCTGCTCGTCCTGATCCAGTTGACATGGACGAAGACGAAAAAGAGATGCTTTCTGAAGCGAGAGCGAGGTTGGCTAACACTAGGGGAAAGAAGGCTAAGAGAAGCTAGAGAGAAGCAACTTCTCTGCAGAAGAGGAGAGAGTTGAAAGCAGCTGGCATTGGTAACAGTCACAGGAAGAGGAAGCCAAAGGGGATTGACTATAATGCGGAGATTCCTTTTGAGAAGAGGGCTCCTGCTGGGTTTTATGTCACTGCAGATGAAGATCGTCCTGCTGATCAGGTGAAGTTTCCGACTACCATTGAGGGGCTTGAAGGGAAGAGGAGGACAGATGTGGAGGCACAGTTTCGGAAGCAAGATGTTGCTAGGAACAAGATTGCTGAGAGATAGGATGCTCCAGCGGCTATATTGCAAACGAACAAGTTGAATGATCCGGAAGCTGTTAGGAAGAGGTCAAAGCTGATGTTGCCACCACCGCAGATTTCAGACCACGAGCTAGAGGAAATTGCAAAGATGGGGGTATGCTAGTGACCTTCTTGCGGAGAATGAGGAGCTGACGGAAGGCAGTGCTGCTACACGGTCGCTTTTGGCAAATTACTCGCAAACACCGATGAGGACGCCTCAGAGAACTCCTGCTGGCAAAGGTGATGCTACTGTGATGGAAGCTGAGAATCTGGCTAGGTTGAGAGACTCTCAGACGCCTTTGCTTGGAGGAGATAATCCTGAGTTGCACCCTTCTGATTTACTGGGGTTACTCCGAGGAAGAAAGAGATTCAAACGCCTAATCTGATGTTGACCCCATCTATGACGCCTGGTAGGATGACACATGGTGGTGCTGGTCTTACTCCCAGAATTGGCTTGACGCCATCAACGGAGGGTTCTTTCTTTTGCTATGACACCCAGAGGTACTCCCTTCAGGGATGAACTTCACATAAATGAAGACATGGACATGCACGAAAGTGCAAAACTTGAGAGGCAGAGACGAGAGGAAGCTAGGATGAGCCTACGCTCTGGTCTGACTGGGCTTCCTCAGCCAAGGAACGAATACCAAATAGTTGCACAACCTCCTCCTGAAGAAAGTGAAGAGCCAGAAGAGAAAATTGAAGAAGACATGTCAGACAGGATAGCTAGGGAAAAGGCTGAGGAGGAAGCAAGACAGCTAGCGCTGCTTAGGAAAAGGTCCAAGGTGTTGCAGAGAGATCTTCCCAGACCCCCAGCAGCTTCATTGGAACTAATTAGGAATTCGTTTCTTTCAGCCAACCGAGACAAAAGTTCTGTTGTTCCTCCTAGTCCAGTTGATGATCAGATGAAATGGTAAGACATGAGCTTCTGCAGTTGCTGGAGCATGATAATGCAAAGTATCCTCTTGATGAGAAAACTGAGAAAAAGAAAGGAGCCAAGAACCGTGCTAACAGTTCTGGTTCTCAAGTTCCTGCAATTGAAGAGGAAAATGAACTCCAAGAGGTATGAATATGAGCAATATCTTCCTTTATCTCAGGTTGTTTAGTTTAGCTACCTCTTGAGTTGAGTCCTTAGATTGCTCTTGGTTTTTGGAGGATAGGCCGATAGGGTACTTGATGGATACTTGATGGATATTAGATTGCTCTTGGTTTTTGGATGATAGGCCGATAGGGTACTTGATGGATATTATGCACATGAATGTATATCTTCCCTTGATGTGAAGCAACATCTTTAATATGGTATAAGATAGTGGTTTATTCATCGTTATTTTTGGTAGGCTGACAAAATGATAAAGGAGGAGGCGCAATTTCTTTGCGCGGCAATGGAAAACGAGAGCAAGACATTTGACGAGTTTGTAGTAGCTCACGATGATTGCGTGAAGGATATCATGTACTTCCCCACTCGAAATGCTTACGGGCCCTCAACTGTTGCTGTGAAGGCAGAGAAAGTTGCAGCTTTTCAAGTGGAGATGGAGAATGCGAGGAAAAAGATGGAGGAGGATGAGAAGAAGGCAGAACACATGAAGGCTAAGTATAAAACTTATACAAAGGGTCACGATGTATGAATATAGTTCTCATTGCCTTCATCTTAATTCTGAAACTAAATGGTTGAATCACTTAATGTTTAATGCTTTTTGTTGTTTGTGCCATTTGGCAGAAAAGGGCAGAGACCGTGTGGAGCCAGATAGAGGCGAGTCTGAAGCAGATTGAGATTGGTGGAACAGAAGTAGAGTGCTTTAAAGCATTGAAGAGGCAAGAAGAGATGGCTGCCTCTTTCAGGAAGAGGAATCTGGAGGACGAAGTGGTGAAGCAAAAGGAAACCGAGCAGAAACTGCAAGCACGCTATGGGGTTCTGTTGTCAACGCTTGAAAAGCAGAGAAGTTAATGGTCGGGTTCCGAGCACAAGCATTGAAAGAGGCTTATGTCGTTGAGGATTCTACCAAACTGAAAGAAGCTAACCTATCCACTGGAGAGGAAAAGGACGCTTCCACGGATGTAGAAGCTTCCGTTTGAACATCTCGGTTTACTTGAGTTTTGTATTGGTTAAAGTTGGAGACGTTTTATTATGAGTAATGAGACTTTGTAAAGGTTGTGATATCCTCTGTTTGTGTACTTTGCAATGGTCAAGAAATTTGAATACATCGTATCTCCGTTTCCTACTGTTTATGTAATCGGCTAGAATTTTTGTAAGAGATAAAAGCTCAGATAGTAAGATGATTTGAACCAAAATCGAAGTTTGTGGCAAAAGCCAAAAAATGCTAGTCTTTATGTGTACTTTGAGTTAGTTATTTAATAAAGTTGAAGTACACAATGAAGTTACCAAATTGTTTGGTAATTTGGATAGGAGTTTTAAAAATAGATGTGTTTGGAAACAAGGTTAATTCGTGTCCTAATATGTGTTTGGAAACAAGGTTAATTTGTCTCCTTTTAACCATGCCGGAAACAAGTACGTATTTTAAACCAAAATTGAAATCAATAACATGCGAATATTATGGCTTGAAATTAAGATATTCGTAGACATAATAGACTAGATTCTCGGTTGCAATCTAGAAAAATATATGATTACCTTAATTTTTTTAACTAAACTTTCATCTCACGTCTTCTTTGTTATAAGCTATATATTTCCAAATCTCTTATATTGCTTCCTTATCTTCTTAAAAGCCANCACGTCTTCTTTGTTATAAGCTATATATTTCCAAATCTCTTATATTGCTTCCTTATCTTCTTAAAAGCCATCAAATGCCTCCATAATATTGAAATCAATAACATGCGAATATTATGGCTTGAAATTAAGATATTCGTAGACATAATAGACTAGATTCTCGGTTGCAATCTAGAAAAATATATGATTACCTTAATTTTTTAACTAAACTTTCATCTCACGTCTTCTTTGTTATAAGCTATATATTTCCAAATCTCTTATATTGCTTCCTTATCTTCTTAAAAGCCATCAAATGCCTCCATAATTAGTTACCTAAATCATCACAAACAAATATAACAATATATTGATGTATTTCGTAAAATGGAAAGGAATATACCCAAATATATATCAACCATAGAATCAAGAAAACATTGATACAAAAAAGATATGGTAATGCAAAAAATAATTGATAAAACTATGATTTCGCATTATAAATTTAATGCTAAAATTTATTGCGAGAATATCCTCACAATATTTTTGCATTCAATATCTCCTTAAAACCTAGGTATTTCACTTCTTTATAAATACAGAGGATTATCAATTACTAAATATCCATTTACAACTCGCAAAACAAAAATGACTAGTGCAAGAAGTATGGTTTTTATCGACGATCTCAAACCTTTTAATTAGTAGGCCTAATAAACTTTCCCAAAATAATGAGTAGGCCTGATAAACATTGAGGATAATATTAATTTGGGCCAGATTTTATGTAAATCTTGGTTTGTTGATTTAGGAGTTATATTGTATAGCCCAATATTGAAAATAATATACATTTTAACTTTCTTATGTAAAATGAAAAATAATATACTGTATTTTGTTCACCATTTATGGTTGTTATTTTGAGGTAAAAATAAAAATCCAAACAGAAATATATAAAATATTAAATAAATCAATATTTACAAAACGCTATTATTATTTAAATTTTGTTTATATAATCAGTTAGACATAGACATCCAAATACCTTTCGGGTACGAATCATTTATTAGATATATGTTTTTAGACTTTTATAAATAGATAAATACAATTTTATTAAGTAGATGTCAAAAAAAAAAATTTAAGTATTATAAATTTTTGGAGGGGTTCGAGTTCGATTATTTTTGGTTCGGGTTGGTTTGTAAGAACCTAACAATATATAAAAAAACTATATGTTTGAAAATGTCATTAAATAATTTATTAAATAAATATAAATTTCAAATATGCGCGGGCGCGCGGGTCAAAATCTAGTTGACCTGAAACTTGAAGTCAACCACAAAACTAACTTCTTTTTTTTTTGGAACTTTATTTTGCTCAAGCACGTTCAAGGGCAACTTCTGCTTATGGGTAGGCACCCCCACAAGTTCATAGAATTCACGAAAATGCCATCAATTTGTTTTTTTTTTCGAAAATGACATATTTACTCTCTCACCCTCATCATCTTCAAGTAATTACAAGATTGCCATTGTCATCAATACTCCAACAACCATGAACAACCAATTTTGAAGCTCTTAACGCCTCCAAATTCCATTTACCCTTCTTCTTTCTCTATTCTCATGAACTAAACAACACATTACAACACATATCTCTCAATTTCTCTCCACAATGAGCTATAAAAACCCAAGATTTTGATTCTACATTTTTTAAGGTTCATATAGTCAAAGAAATTAAAGATTTAGGGTGGATTACCTTTGTTTGAGATCCTGAGTGCTTGATTCTACATTTTCTAGGGTTCATATAGTCAAAGAAAGTGGTCTCACCAATTTAAGGTATGAAATCGAGTTTTTTTTTCCAGATTTGTTCGTCCAGACGACTGAAATTTCAGTCGTCTGCATTCGTCCGGTCAACGCAAAAGTTATTTTTGCAATTGACTTTGCAATTTGTTTCCAGAGACGACTGAAAGTTTAGTCGTCTGGATTAGTTTGATAAACAAAATATCCTCAGAATCTGGACGATTGAATTTCAATCATCGTAGGTTAGTTTTGCATTTGACAATAAAACTTAAGAATTTTGACTTTTTCGGACAACTGAAATTTCAGTCGTCTGCGAAAAAATTAAAATATCAATATTTTATTGGAACTCACGACTTACATTTCGGTAGTAATAGGTTAGTTTTGCAACTGTGAAAAAAACTTCAACTCTCAAGACGACTTATAATTCAGTCGTCCGGAAGACGACTTAAAATTCAGTCGTCCAGGATTTTATTCCGAGATTCTAGTCAAACCTTGTAAATCCTAGACGACTGAATATTAAGTCGTCCAGCAGACGACTGAAATGTAAGTCGTCTGGATATGATTAAATATTGAAGTTTTTTTTCGCAATTGCAAAACTAACCTACGACGGCTGAAATTTAAGTCGTCCAATTTCAATAAAATATTGATATTTCATTTTTCCTCAGACGACTGAAATGTAAGTCGTCCTGAAAAGTCAAACTTCTGAAATTTTCTAGTCAAATACAAAACTAACCTATGACGACTGAAATTTCAGTCGTCTGTGTTTTTTGGAGATTTTTTTTATCAAGCTAATCCAGACGACTGATATTTCAGTCGTCCCAATTGACAGATTTCAAAGTTAATTGCAAAAATAACCTCTGCGTTGACCAGACGACTGAATGTTTAGTCGTCTGGATGACTTAGATTTCAGTCGTCTGCTTCTATCTTTAATAAACTTTTGTTTTCTTTGTTTTATGTTTGCTAATGTGTTTTATTTTTACTATTTCAGATGACACATCAGTTACGTGCAGTGTATGGAGAATGGTTGTTGGAAGATGGTTGTTGGAAGATGGTTGTTGGAATTTTGTGGTTGATCGTTTCAAATGATCGAGGATGTTATTTTGAGTGAAGGTTTGACACATGCTGATCTTGTTTCAAAGGAGCGAGGATGTTATTTTTGAGTGAAGGTTCGTCACATGCTGATCTTGTTTCAAAGAAGAGAGGATGTTATTTATGTATTATGTACTTCTCTTTAAACGACCTTCATTTCATTCGTCCAGACGACCTTAATTTCAGTCGTCCAGACGACCTTATGGATAGTCGTCTTTCGGGTTAAATAAAAATTTGAAAAGACAAGTCTTGCATTACATTACATTATCCGAAACACAAGTCATACATTACTAAATTTGACTAAGTTTTTCAACACAAACTTGTAAAACATGTAATATGATTTAACACCAATGATGATTTTTTGGAAGAAGGGTTTGATGTTGAAGTCTATTATTTCATTGATTTGTAATGTATAAACACATTGTTATCACATATATTACATCTTGGGAAACAATATTACTGATTTTACAAAAAAATCACAATTAAAAGAGTACACATGCAAATCACAAAACATACCACAAACTAAACTATAATAGATCATCCAGAACATTATACTTTAGACAACTAACATGTAAATCGTCCCAAAAGTCTTCAAGATCTGAAAAACCTGCATATCAAGCCCAGATCTGAAAAATCTGCATATAAAAAAACATTCAAATGGCTTAAAACACACAGAAAATGAGTGAAAGAGTAGATATATATATATATATATACTTTTATAGAACACACAACATACATATCAAAATGAAGATGATAACCATATGATTAAAAACCTGCAAGAAAAAGATAGATTAGTGAGAAAAACATGAGACAAAACTGAAAAATTCATATAAATTTTGGTGTTTTCAAGTCAAAAAATTACCAAATGAAGAAAACATAAAAAAAAATAAGTGAAAGATTAGATAAATATACCTTTAAATGAGTGGAATATGAGAACCATGTGATGAAAAACCTGCAAAAACAAGAAAAATTAGTGAGAAAGACATGAGACAAAAACAATAAATTGATATAAAGTTTGGTGTTTATAAGTTCAAAGAGATTATAGAGAGGTTTGAGAGTTCTAGAAAAATGAACATTACATTTTTGTTGCAGACATTTGAGAGGAAGAGTGAGAATGTGTAAAATTTTCTTTATATAGGGAGACAAAAAATCAATTAGGTTAAATGTTTTCGATTTCAGACGACTGAAATTTCAGTCGTCCACGAGACTTTAATAATTTTAGCGGGAAACTAAAATATTTCTTAAATTTTAGGCGGGAATATTAAGACGACTGAAATTTCAGTCATCTGGTAAATACTTTGAAACAGACGACTGAAATTTCAGTCGTCGAACCCCTAAACATAACCCCTAAACTTCATTCTCTAATGAAACACTTCGAAAACTTAAATTAAACTTGAAAAGTGTTTAGTATACACATAAATAAACACATAGAGGCCAAATCAAATTTTTGAAAAAAACATTTCGGCTTTTCAAATCTAACCCTAAGATTACATACAATACTACAACATATGTTTGCCAAACCCTTAGACCAAAGAATATCATGATTCACTACTTCCACTCATCTATGCTGAAAATAAATCAATTTTATCATTTTTTAATTTATATCACTTTAAAATGTTTATAATTACAAGTTTTTAATTTTTCACTCATCAAAATATTTTTTACAAAATTTATAAATTATTTTTAAGATTCAGTCGTCCAGACAACTAATATTTCAGTCGTCCAGACGACTGAAAACTAGCTTAGTCTGACTCAAACAACTTACATGGGCTAAATTCGTAAAATTGTCTTCTGTTTTTTTGTTTGGTCACAAATGAGTATACTGTAATTTCATACCTCTTTTAGGTTAGATTTGCATTTGATTCAAGTTTGGTTCTAGTATTAGGGTTAAAACCAAGTTGTAGGTTAATTTTGGCAAAAACCCCATTATTGTCTACCACATCACATTATTCTAATTAAGCTTTACTTACTTGAAGAAAAGACTATGAGAAATACTTTTTCTAACTAATCGATGTGACTTTTCATCAAAAAACATTTGTGATATGATAACAGCTGAATGTACATGATATTTGTTACATGAATATATTACATGTCGTGTTGATAATAGTTAATTCATTTGGAGATAAAATGCTTAGATTTAAACATTGTCCTATGTTCAATTATCAAAATTCACAGCAGATAAAGAAACTTGAATGTTTCCTAACGTAGAAATTCATCTTTCATGAAAAAAACCAGCTTTCTTAACCAAACCGTTGTTCATGAAAAGGCCAAAAAAACAGTGCAAGTCCAATGAAAACGCTTCAATCAAACAAATAGAAGAATGTGAAAACAGAACACGATCGTAACAAAGCTAAAAGCAGAAGAGGAGGAAGAAGAAGCATAACTGGGAAGCCTCGGATAATCCTCCGGAGAAGGCATAACACATTCATCCCCATATCCTTCTTTAACGACAACTCTGTTTGCACATTCCCAATTTTTTCAGCTTGCAGCAACACATCATTGTAAAACTTGACTCCCCAAAACACCCCTGTGTCATCTGAAACAAACAACCAAGAGCAAGATGTAACAATCTGAGGAAAATAAGTCTTTAACTTTTTATTACTTACTGATGCCGTTGTGGTAAGGTGTTAAGGATTTGTAGTTAAAACTGAAGACTTGTTCTACGCTTTTCAAGTTGGGATGGAGCACAACCAAGTTCTAGTCAGTGTAATTTTTCATTGTGTTGAGATTTGTTGCTGTGATCTTAACCCTCCAATACTCTCTATAGTTCACTTTGACATGCCAGTGGATGTGAATGGGACACATATGTTTCGTACACTCCACCACAGGCGATACTTCCTCCTCAGGATCATGTTTCTGTTCCAGATATGGCGGCATCTCACCAGGCCTGAACAAGCCAGCAACAAGAAAGAAAAAAACTCAGGACTATTGTGTATGACACTATGAATAAAAACATTGTTAAATCATTACTTGACGCAATGAGAGCTAGAGCAGCCGCAGCTACAGGTAGGGCAAGGAATGATGTTTCGGTAGTAGAAAGCAGAGAGTGAAACGCAGCATTTTGGTGATTATGATGACCTAAACTGCGAGTACACGCACACTGCCTCCCATGTTGCTGCTCTCAACATCAAACACACAACACATTAAATGTTATATCAAGTACATACACTAATATAAACAATGTATGTGAGTTTCTTTTACCTAGAGCTTGCGTTTTGCGACGACTTTTATCAGTACTATACTTAGTAGGAGCCACGGAAGTAGCATTGTCGCAACTATAACCAGGGACACCTATATCAAAATTAGAAGGCATATTAAACTCTCCAGAGTCATAAGGGAAGCTTCCTATGGTCATGTGGAAAACAGAGACGTGATCGGTGTGGTCTTGGGACATTGAAGTCAAGACGCCTCCACGACAGCAGTTGGAGACTTGAGAGGTGAAAGGAGCTCCGGGAAGAAGGTCGACGATGGTTGGTCGTTTGAGACCAGCAGTGAGGGAGTGTTCCACCGGAAGCAAAGGCTGAGCAGTTGCCTTGCTCTGTAGTCTCAGCTCCTCTCATGTCCCATATATCACATGTTTGCTTTCCCAATGTCAGCTCAGCTTCCATCCTGGCTTATCTATGTGACGGTACTCTTGCATGTTCTCTACCTTTACTTGTACCTAGCAACATTTTTGAATATTCCAAATTAATAATTAGATAATCAGAAGTTTTTAAGTGTATAAATCTTACGAGTAATTTCTAGTTATATATACTTAGTAGGTAATTTTTCCGTGCTCATGGACGGAGATAAATATTTATAAAATATATATATATATATAATAATAATAATCTATACTATTAGAGTGGTTAATATCGTTTGTAACATTAATGAATAAAATATATAAATATATAAATCAGTCAAAAATAAAAATGAATTTAATATTTATTTGATTGGATAAATGATTTAAATTAATAATAATGATAAAAATTATACATAATCTAAATATATATTTAAAAATAAAAAGATAACTCCTATATATATTGTGTTGTGATCCGAAAATATATTTTAATAAAAAAATTCAACAACAGAAAATACATAAATAAATATTCATAAAGTAAAAGTTGTAATTGTATATAATTGAAAAGAGAAAATTGAAAAAAATATAATACGATTATTTTCATATTAAAAGAATATAATAATATAATAATATAATATAATGATATATATTTGTGAAGTTATTTTTGCCTCTGAACTCATACGTTAAATTAAATTTATTTTTATATTTTATAAATTTAAACCTTGAACATGAATTAATCATAATAAAATAAAAGATCATTCAAAATAAATAAAATACATGTTTGACAAAAATAAATTTAAATATATTATATTATTTATCCAAACTAATATTATTCTTTCTGTAAGATCAATTTTTGAATATATATTTATCGATTCAATTTTTTAAATTGAAAGATAGATTTCTATATTTTGTATCAATTAAGAAGAAATGAAATAGATTTTAGATAGATTTTAGATGTCTTGCCTATGTACACAGTTCACTGCAGGAGAACCGCAACAGAAGATATATTTGGAATGTTTGTGAACGAGAAAGAAAGTTTAAAGCAGTTGTTCAGTGCTGAGAAGCAGAGAGTGTCTCTTACCACAGACATTTGGGTTGCTCCCACAACGTCGTACAACTACATGGTCGTCACAGCTCATTGGATAGATAGAAGCTGGAATATGCAGAAGAGAATCATCAGTTTCAAGCCTATCACCGATCATAAAGGTGACATCTACTTGATGGAAAAACCAGTACCACGAGCCTCGAACAATTTAGGCTTGGACTACAACATTTTATCTTGGTGGAAGAAGAATTCTGGTAAGTTTCCAATCTTGTCTGAACTAGCAAAGGATGTCCTAGCTGTTCAAGTCTCCTCTGTTGCTTCGGAGTCAGCATTCAGTACAAGTGGTAGGATTTTAGATCCGTTTCGTAGTTGTCTGACTCCATACATGATTGAAGCTTTGGTATGCCTACAACAATGGCTTCGTAACAACATCCAGGCTGAGAAACTCCCAAGCTTGGTTCAGATGTTTGAAGAACTCGACTTTNGGATGTCCTAGCTGTTCAAGTCTCCTCTGTTGCTTCGGAGTCAGCATTCAGTACAAGTGGTAGGATTTTAGATCCGTTTCGTAGTTGTCTGACTCCATACATGATTGAAGCTTTGGTATGCCTACAACAATGGCTTCGTAACAACATCCAGGCTGAGAAACTCCCAAGCTTGGTTCAGATGTTTGAAGAACTCGACTTTCATGAGTCACTAGGTAATCATTTAACTGTTTTCCTTAAATTTTTATATGTTCACAGATCATAGTCCTAAGTTCTTAATTTCCTTTGAAATTATGTAGAGTCTTTGCGAATTCCGGGTGAATCTGATCATTAAAGGTAATTTGTTGGTGTCATGTTTATATAGTTTCTTGTATTTTGTTCTTCTCTCGGTTATTACTTATTATTACTGTTTTTTTGGTTCATAAACTTGTAGGTTGGAGAGTCCAGGAAGTCAAAACCAACATATCTCTCTATTTTGGACAACTATCAATCTTTTTTGAACTTTATGAATCTATATATCTTTCAAAGTGTGATATTTGCAAAAGAGATATAGATTCAGATTGTTGTATTTTCTTGGTGTTTTTGATGTTTGATATTGATCTTTTTTGGATGTTTTAATTTGGTCAATCGATGATAAGTTGGTTTTGATGTTGGATGTTTATTTTTTTTTTTGTTGTTGATTGCATGATTAATTGATTTTGCAGGTGAAAACAGAGTAATAACCGAATAAATCATAGATAACCGATTTTTATATCTAACCGAAATACCCGAAATAACTGAAATGGTCCGATTTTTGAGTTAAACAAATCAATTTTCGGGTTTTTTTTCGGATGAAATACCCGAAATAACCGAAATGGTCCGACTTTTGAGTTACAAAAATTGAGTTTCGTTTTTTTTCGGAAATTAAACGGAAACCGGAAATAACCGGTATCCGAACCGAACTGAACCGATTTCAATTTTGGTTTTCTTCGGAAATATTTTCATATTAAACGGTTAACCGAAAACCGAAAAAACGGTTCGGTTCGGTTTCGGTTACCCGAACTCGTAGGGCTAGAGACCACCTATAAAGTAATATCAACAATAAGAATAGAAACTAGACATTTTTGAATAGCAAAGGACGGTGAAGTAACTGGATTGCAATATTATCAAATATTAGAAATTTCGTGTTTCCGGTATTGTCTAGCACCACCAGATGCAACTTGTATCTAAAATATTGATAGCGTGCTCCTTTCCTCGTGAGGGAGGTAACCCTGTAGGTTCCTGGAAATTGGTGAAAATGAATGAATGAGGTAAGCAACGTTGGGATTGACCTTCGATATCACCAATCTCCCATGAGATAAAAAATGAATGAGGTAAGCAACTCGTTTCCTTTNTATTGTCTAGCACCACCAGATGCAACTTGTATCTAAAATATTGATAGCGTGCTCCTTTCCTCGTGAGGGAGGTAACCCTGTAGGTTCCTGGAAATTGGTGAAAATGAATGAATGAGGTAAGCAACGTTGGGATTGACCTTCGATATCACCAATCTCCCATGAGATAAAAAATGAATGAGGTAAGCAACTCGTTTCCTTTATTGTGGTATTGTTAAAATTTCATGTCTGCGAACTTAAAGGAAGTATATGATATACTTAGAAATCCTGTTTGAAAAAGTTTGTGACAGTTTTGCTGACATGCTATTGTGACCTTGCGAGTGTTCTGTTGCTTCATGATAGAACAGTATCACTGCTTAAGATCTTCCTACATCCTCGCCTGAATGCCTATTTTCTACATATTGTTTGTCATCTTCCGTGAAATATAATATTCATCTTGAGTGACATGTTTTTGCGTTTAAACACTGAAGTCTTCTGAGAGTCGGCAGGTGCCGCTCATCCTGAACCTTGGTTTTGTTCTCAATTCTATTTCAAAAACATGCATCACTCTTTTCTCTGTTTTTTATTCTCTGCATCTTACTACATAGTTCCTATCTTATTCTTAACTTTAGAGCATAATGTGGTCTCAAGTATGATTCCACAATTGACTGGTATATTTTGTTTTCTTTCCCAATGGTTGCAGGAGTTGGGATTCCGTTGTGATCATAATCAAGGTGAATGTCGAGCTAAATTCGTTTGCCATTTAGATTGTTTTGCTTGGGTGAAACGGGATAGCTATCTTCCTCAGGGAAGCCATGGTCTGAAGGTTCATTTGATTTCTTTCTCTTCGCTATTGTTTATCCATTTCTTATATGTCCCTTTTTAGAGGAATTCATATTATGTTTTGAGTAATGGTCGTCTTTTAATTAAATGCCAGGCCGTTACGAAGGCGAAACTGGGCTATGATCCACTGGAAGTGAACCCAGAAGAGATGGTTCAGTTTGCAATGGAAAAACCACAGGTACTGCTGATAAATTAATCAAGGTTCTTAAGAACTGCAGTAGTAGTTTGATTGCTTTGGAATGGGGTAGAGTGTGACGATATTTGTTCTAGTAATTAGTGTCTCTTTAAGGACTGAAGAAATGTTATCATCCTCCTGTTAAACACCATCTCTTATCAGTACGCAAAATTTAGGAGCAAACATATGGATGTTGCGACTGATAACTTCCAGTAACTGTGGATTTTTTAGTCCATACAGTGCTTGCTTGGAATTGGGTGCTTATATATTTTTTTTGTTCTGTTCCATGTTGCAGACAATGGCCTCCTATTCTGTCTCTGATGCTGTTGCAACTTATTACCTATACATGCATATGTTCACCCGTTCATTTTCTCTCTCGTAACTGTCATCCCAATGGTCCCTGATGAGGTCTTACGTAAAGGAAGTGGAACCCTTTGTGAATTGCCCTGATGGTTGAGGTGACTTCCATTTAGGACCAGGTCTTTAGCAATCTTTGACGTCTTTCATTCTTTGTACAGGGGTTGAAGGCAAATGTTGTATGTCCCAATAAAAACCAAGCTGACCCTGAGAAGTTCTACCAAAGTCACCTTCTTGAAAGTAAGTGAGACATATATTGGTGGCCATGTAGAGTGCATCGAAAGTGGTGTTTTCCGATCTGGCATTCCAACCAGTTTTGAGCCAGACACATCGGCATACCAGGCTAGTAATCTGCTTTACTTACTCAATATGATTTTTCTTATTGTTTTCTGAGCATTACTTCTTCTTCTGATATGGTTTTATTCAAATGTCAGTTATTTTAATTTATGCACCTATCTGATATTGGACCATTTAATTCCCAGCAACTGATATCGATAACCTTGACCGGGATCTGGAGTATGCTATCACTGTAGAAGGGAAAATGAGAATGGATTCAGTTTCCAATTATGACGTAGTGAAGGAAAAAATCAAGGAAAAGGTAATGGATTCCTCTACTGAGTGTTTTCTCGTCAGCGTGTGTTTTCTCTCGTCTCTCGTCAGCATGTGTTTTCTCTTGTCTCTTTGAATGGCTGACCCTGCATACACATTTCATTCTGGAAGAGTTTTCCTTAGCATTTCATAAATGCTAAGCCAATATCGACGATCCTTCTCTTGTAAAGTAACCCCAATAGTTCTTCTGGAAAGAACACAGTTAACGTGAGGAGATAGTCCATCAAATACCCTCCATTTACAGTAGTTGTCACCAACTACGCACATACATGTGTGGGTTTTGGAAAGCAGAACATAAAACCTGATCGTTTTATACATTGTTCCCTGTACTACCTGACATGGGACGTCCTCTTAGTTCTGTTATGATTTGGCGGTTTTATTGCCATGCAGCTGGAGAATTTACGAGATTGCCCTATACGTGAAGAGGGACCTCTTATTTATCACCTTGATGTTGCAGCGATGTATCCAAATATCATCTTAACAAATAGGCTTTTGGTACGTCAAATAACCTTTTGCATGTTTCTAACTGATTTCTTGATTTTATAATGTAACATGCAATTGTAAATCAATATCTACCAAATTAACACAACAGTCACTGTCAAGATTATGAATCCCGTGGGGTTATTATGCTAAGTGGAAATTTCCTCTTCATTGCCAGCCACCATCAATAGTTACGAATGAAATTTGCCCCGCATGTGATTTCAACCGCCCGGGAAAAACGTGTCTTCGAAAACTTGAATGGGTTTGGCGTGGGGTGACATTCATGGCAAAGAAAAGGTTCAACTTATATGTAATCTTTTTAACTAGGAAGGTCTAGTCTTAAGTTCTCAACTTTTTTACGAATGGCTTGACAGTGATTATTACCATTTGAAGAAGCAGATTGAGTCCGAATTAATTTATTGATGCTGGTGCAAATATTCAGCCTTCAAAATCATTCCTTGATCTACCAAAGGTGGAACAACAATCTAAACTAAAAGAAAGACTGAAAAAATATTGTCTAAAGGTGTTCTCTCTCCTTCTCTTGATAATATTTCCTCCACATTGTCAATACATAAAAGGCAAGTCGTTTTGTGCTATGATAGGCATATCGACGAGTACTTGACAAGCTAATCACTGAAGTTCGTGAGGCTGGGATATGCATGAGAGAAAACCCGTTTTATGTAGACACTGTTCGGAGGTGCGTGATCATTATTCATTGAGCATAGTGCTTCATCCACACTGTTCATAGTATTTTCAACCATTATGACTTAACAACTTTTGATGATCAGGGTCACCTGTAAGTGAACTTGCTGTCCCTGTTGCCATATTTACCTTATCTAAAACGGAACCTGGTAAATATTCTGTTATTTAGTGTGATTAGGTATTGTTGTGTTCTTAACCTTCAAATGTGATGTAAATCTTCAAACTTTACAGAAAGAATGAAGTTTTATCTGGGAAAATGGTGCAAGCAGCCGTTTAACTCAGACCATAAAGTTGATATTGGCTTAATTATTGACTGGTCGTATTACAAGCAGCGTCTTAGTTCAGCTATCCAAAAAGTTATTACTATTCCCGCTGCAATGCAGAAGGTTCATTATTCTCACTTTTTTTGGTGTTCTTTCGCTATATATCTAACGGCCTATATGACCTATACAGGTGCCTAGGGTGCTTCATCCTGATTGGCTTCATAAAAAGGTCCGTGAGAAAGATGATAAATTTCGCCAGAGAAAACTAGCTGATATGTTCAGCTCAGCAACACAAAGATGGTGTGTTGGACAAAAATCATTTGGTGATGATGTGAACGATATTGAGGATATCGATTTTTGCAAAGAAAACAAGCCTGGCGTAAAGGGGCCAAAGCCAATTGCACGTTCTTATGAAGTTAATAAAGAACAGTTTGGACGTGAGCAGAAAGGGAGCAAGGACCCAAAGTGCGATGACGATGATATCTCATTTGAGAACATTGACAAGAACGTGGATTGCCAAGGTTGGCTTGCAGTGAGAAAAAGAAAATGGAAATGGAAGAAAAACCGAAGGTTAGTTCTCATGATTGTATATATTCTCCTGGAGTTCATCTTACAACGAGTAGGTTTTGATTTGGACCAAAATGTAGTCCAATAGAACATCCACTGCGGTTACAACAAGGAACGTGGATTAAGTAGTTCACGGTGTGTCCCTTCTTTTTGTAGGTTGGGTGGTCAACGATCTTTAAAGCAGATTGATGCTCATGAGGTAAAGAAAAGAGTCTCACAGGTTAGAAGAGGTGTAGGTTCATTCTTTAGGAGGCCTGTAGAAGCTTTGACTAGATCACATTGGCAGGTACGCACGTCGACCTGAATGTATTATATATATTTGCTAATCATTTGCAGCTACGTAACTTTTTCTATCCGACCTTTTTTAGATAATACAGCTGGTCCCAAGTCCACAGAGCGGACAATTTTCCGCTTGGGTGGTTGTGGAGGGATTGCTTCTTAAAATCCCAAGAGTGTTTTACATTAATTCCAAAGCTCCTATAGATGGAAAATTCCCGGGAAAGTGTGTCAACAAGATTCTTCCTCATGGCAGGCCTTGTTATCATATGATTNATCCGACCTTTTTTAGATAATACAGCTGGTCCCAAGTCCACAGAGCGGACAATTTTCCGCTTGGGTGGTTGTGGAGGGATTGCTTCTTAAAATCCCAAGAGTGTTTTACATTAATTCCAAAGCTCCTATAGATGGAAAATTCCCGGGAAAGTGTGTCAACAAGATTCTTCCTCATGGCAGGCCTTGTTATCATATGATTTATGCCTTCACATTGATTTCATGAATGGAAGAACAAGGATAAAAAGTAGTGATAATAAACAATGTTTAAATTGTTAATCAGATTATAGTATTTTCCACTCAGTGAGAAAGATCCATAAGGTCACGTCAAAACTTAGAGTCACCTTCACGAATGCAAGAAGCTTGCAGACCCTGAAATTGAGGTGAGATATCTTACAAACTAATATATATCAGAAGCCCAACCTTGTATGGCTTAAATATTAGGAATATTTTTATTTCTGGTGAATGGACAACTTGTACATGCTGGAAATCTGAATTCTTCTCCTGTAAAATTTGGCTGCATAAAGTATCTTGTGTAAGGAAAATTCTGGAGATAGAGTTTACTTGTGTGGTGGCCATGCTGTTTATTTTCTTACTTGTGTGGTAGCCCTTGCTCGAAGCTTCATGATCCAGCTCTTCATCTCATGCTCCACAAGGTAAGTGACTGTTGATGCATTTGTAAAGGTATAAATTTGTTGGTGGATTAAATGCATCAAACTATACTAATTCCTCCTTGCATCTCTGTCTGGTTCTTCTTTCAATCAACTCTGTTCTGTCTGGTTCTTCTTTCAATCAACTCTGTTGTTTACAAATTATAAATGGTTTCTGCAGTATGCTTGTCATAGGCTATAATTCCCAATGCAGCCTTTTGATCTTGATATTTGCCATTTGCCATTCACATTTGGTTTTCATATAAATTTCTAAATTCATTCGACATCTTGTGGTTTTTCATCAATACTGTAGGTCATGCAATAGGTGTTTGCGCTGCTTTTGACTGATTTGCGGAGATTAGGTGCTACAATAATATTTGCAGACTTCTCAAAGATCGTCATCGACACAGGGAAATTTGATCCATCTGCTGCTAAGGCTTATCGTGACAGCTTGCTCACAGCTGTGGGGAATAGTCTTTCTCCAGATGGTCTCTCATGAGATTCCAATGTCTCTTAATAGCTCTGACAAGCTGTTTTAAATGGTGAGATTGTAATCTACCATAATTACTGGCGTTTAGCTTAAAAAGTCTAAAAGATGCAGTGAGAGCAAATCATTACGAAAGGTTGTCAACCTTTTCTCTGTTGTTTAATCGTGAGTACAACAATCTAGGATGTGTATTCGTGAGTTCACAAACTTTACAAAGTCATTACTCATAAAAAGAACTTGGAACTCATAAACAAAGTCAAAGCTGCGTCTCTTAAAACATTGAACCAATACAAAACTCAAGTACGTAGAGACTCTTCCAGGGNATCATTACGAAAGGTTGTCAACCTTTTCTCTGTTGTTTAATCGTGAGTACAACAATCTAGGATGTGTATTCGTGAGTTCACAAACTTTACAAAGTCATTACTCATAAAAAGAACTTGGAACTCATAAACAAAGTCAAAGCTGCGTCTCTTAAAACATTGAACCAATACAAAACTCAAGTACGTAGAGACTCTTCCAGGGATACACAACCAATAATACGCCCACCGGCTGGAATGCACATAGGTTTGGTCTTCCTCCAGTTCAGAGGCCTATCTAAAGGATTACATACCTTCACGACAGACCATCCCACATGCTCAAATCTCCCTGCATCTGATTCTATAGGGACAATGCCTCCTATAACATAAAACTTATCCCTTAGAGCTGCAAACCCGTATTCTCCCACCGGTGCCTCTCCCAGATGATTAGGAAGAACAACAGAAGGAACTGAGCCAACATCATACCATTCTCCTTCATCTGTATCCTTAGCCTTGATAAAGCTTCCTCCCAGTCCCAAGTCATCAATCGTGTACAGTCGATCATTTTTCATCACGTGACCATTAAACTTCCTGCTTACAAGGGGAGGGCAGATATCAACCACAGTGGACCAACTCATCTCTAGTGGATTGAATGCTTGAGACGCCATTCCTACCTCATCACCCAGTACATGAAAGGACCCTTTGTACGATAACCCAGATCTCGAGGAGTTCATTTGTGGTCTAGGCACTGCTGGTAACTCCACCCACCTGCATTATTACTGTTACGTTAGACCCTAGTTTTCGTAAGTTTATCTAGTTTAAAGATGCATCTCTTTGCCCAGTACGTACAATAGTTAGGAAAAAAAAAGGCGTCACATGGAGAAAAAAATACCTATCAGCCACAGGATCATAAACCTCAGCAGATGACATTCCGAATAAGTGTGTCAATGCATTGCGACCTCCAGCAACATAAACCTTGCCAGAGACAACAGCACAAGCAAAGTGAGCCCTCGGCGTCCTCATACTAGCAACCCTTTTCCACTCTTTTTTAAATGGATCAAACCGCACGACGTCTCTAGTAACAACAGTATTCTCATGAGGAGACGATGACGCATAACAACCCCCGATCACAAGAAGACAATTGGAAACACAAACACACGCAAAACCATAATGATCCCAGCCATCTTCAACAGCTCCGTTCCTAGGCAATGGATGCCACAGATCAGCATCAGGGTCATAAGCAACCCATCGGTTCTTAAAACCTTCTGCCAGAACAAACAACCAGCTCCCTGACCATCCTTTTTTAGCTTTATAGCACGAGTAATACTCACTGCGAACTAAATCTCTCCACCTTCTAGAGACACACTCGAGCATTCCATGATAGCCGTGAGAAAGCTTCGCTATGCATCTGAAAGCCAAATCATCAGGAAAACCTGGGATGATAGACTGTTCTATGGTCTTCCTGAAAACAAAGACAGACGCCAGATGCGTTTATTTTCGTCAACAAAACTACTCAATTCGAGAAACTAAAACAGAGGCTTGAACTGTCAACTGATTCTACCTAAAACAAAAAAAAAAACTCGACTTGTGTAATAAAGACTTAACAGAAAGGTCCGAACTTAATAAAAACCATCAAATAAGCTTTTAAGTATATGTATAACCTTAAGTCCACGTCTCTGATCTCGTTCTCGTGCTCGGATTCCGACATACTACTACGGTTGGGTTCGCTAAGGTGTTGCGGCGGCGTATGTTAAAGGGAGGGAGAAGGGTTACAAGTAGGGGAAAAATAAAAAGGACTTTTTATAATCGGAGTTTATATACGACGTCGAATTTCTTTTGAGGCCCATACAACGCCTTGTTCGCGAGGCTTTCCAAAATATATACAAGTGGGGAAACACAATCTAAGTTCTTTTGACAACATATGTTTCTTTTTTTTTTTTGACCAAACCTTAAATATTACTTAAAAACTTCAAAGTGCTTACATCAAACCTGCCATTAACAGCCAGAAAGAAAGAGAAGCAAGACCTTGTTTAGCCAAGGAGTCAGCTTCCCTATTACAAAGCCTTGGAACATGGATAACTGATACAGACTCAAAAGACTTACATAACATCAGAATGTCATAAATAACTCATTGGAGATCATTGTACCAACCATTGACGTTGAGTAAGTCAATGAGAGATTTGGAATCCGATTTCACAATCAATTTTCCAAATCTTAAGAGGTATGCTTCAGAAAGAGCAGTTTTAACCGCAAGAGTCTCTGCCATGATAGCATAAGCCACATCACGTCGGTTTGCAAAGTGATTCCAGGTAGCACAGCCCCCTTCATCGATAAATCTCCACCCAAAACCCGCTTCCCTAGATCCTGCACGCCAAGCTGCATCCACAAAACATGTAATACCAGTGATCTCCACATCAGGGGGTATACCAAGAGATGGTTTGGGTTTATGAGTAGCGGTGGAAGGAACTTGAGCTGATTGCCACGCCCGTGCCTCCACAAGGGCTTTTGAAACTACCTCCTGCTCCGAGAATAACCTGTCATCAAAAATCATTTTGTTCCTTGAAGTCCACAGACTCCAAGAAATCCAAGGGAGGAGATGAGTGTTATTTAGGCCTGTCGGAGATAAATTAACAAGAAGGAGCGAGGATTGGAGGAATTGGGGTATCGTAGACACCCTCGTGGTGGACGGATGGTTAGAAGCTGGAACCAGGTCCCACACGCGAGACGCAAAAGGGCAGTGAAGGAGCACATGCAGCTCCGTTTCAACTGCTCCGCATCTCTTACATGAGCCATCCACTTCTATTCCTCGGGCCAAAAGGTTAGCTCCGACCGGTAAAGCTCTATTTCCAACTTTCCAGAGAAAATTCTTCAATTTCGGTGATGTTTTAACATTCCAAATACATTGGTTCCATTGAAGGCCAGGGTTCACCACCGGTTCAACATTGAGTTTAGAGAGAGCATAACAAGATTTTGTGGCATAAACTCCATTTTTTGCTGGTAACCAAGCTAGAGTATCTTCCATACCCAAAGCGCTAGGCACCAATAAGCAGATAGATTCATCATACTGAGGTAGGGTGTTCCTTGTCAGTGGGATATTCCAATCCCCTAAAGCAGGTAAGATCAGTTCAGAGACTGTCATGTTACAGTTCTGCGCTGAGGGAGGGCTGATAAGGGTTAATGGAGTTGTTGTAGAGAGCCAAGGGTCCCGCCATATGTTAATCTGCTCACCGTTACCAACTATCCAGCCAAGACCTTTTCTTAGTACCTCTCTTCCCGCTATTATACTTCTCCAGCCATGAGAGGCATTCCTAGGCGGAGTAGCATCCATAAGAGACGAAGAAGAATGACCATACTTACTCATGAGAGTTTGAGCGATGAGGGAGGTCGGGTGCTTAATGATACGCCAAGCCATCTTTGCTAGGAGAGCATCGTAAAATTGCTCAATCTCTTGAAAACCCAAACCCCCCCCCCCCCACATTTTTAGGTAAGGTGAGCTTACTCCAAGAAACCCAAGACATCTTCCTAATGTTTGGTTTCACATCCCACCAGAACCGGGTAAACACTGCTTGGATTTGCTTGCATAAGGATTTTGGCAGCTTAAATCAGGTCATTGCATAAGATGACATTGACGCTAACACTGCTTTTAGCAAGACTTGTTTACCAGCACCGGAAAGGTGCTTTGCCGTCCAGCTATGAGATCGTTGCCGTATCATGTCAACTATACCAGCAAAAATATCTCTTTTCCTCCGACCAAAGTGCTCTGGCAGCCCCAAATATTTACCCACACCTCCTTCATTATCAATATGTAGAGAGGATTTAACCCGTTGTCGGACTTCAATAGGAGTCTTACTTGAGAAGGTAATAGCAGACTTTAGCACATTGATCTTCTGCCCTGACGCTTCCTCGTACTGCTTGAGGATGGAGATGAGCGTGTGGCAGCTGGCTTGATCCGTTCTACAGAAGAACATGGTGTCATCTGCAAAGAGAAGATGGGTGATAGCCGGAGCACTCCTAACAATTTTTATTCCTGGGAATGAACCTTTCTCCTGGGCTTGAGAGCAAAGGCTGGACAGAACCTCAGAACAGAGAATAAAGAGATAAGGAGACAGTAGATCCCCTTGTCTCAGACCCCGAGAGGGTATAACTTTTTCTCTAGGGCTCCCATTGATCAACAACGAGTAAGAGACAGTGCTCACGCAGGTCATTAACCAGTCCACAAAGAGGCTGTGAAACCCGAAGCACTGTAGGACCCTTCTCAAAAATTCCATTTAATTCTGTCATAAGCCTTGCTCATATTTTTTTTAATCGCCATAGAGCATCTCTGTTTGGCTTCAGAGGCTTTTAGGAAGTGAAGAATCTCATGTGTAATGAATACATTATCAGATATGGCCCTACCCGATACAAAGGCAGATTGTTGAACATAGATGAGAGCCGACAACAGAGGCTTGATTCGGCTGGTGAGGATCTTAGCGATGATCTTGTAATGTGTGGAACACAAAGCAATTGGTCTGTAATCAGAAACCTTCTTAGGTCCCTTACCCTTAGGAATTAATCTCACATGAGTCTCGTTGTGCCGTGGATTAAGGGAACCTTCTACGAAAAAAGCTTGGATATCAGTGGCCACATCCTCTCCAATTATATCCCAATAAGCTTGGTAGAAACTGGCAGAGAAGCCATCTGGACCCGGAGCTTTATCAGCGTGGATAGAAAACACTGCATTTGTGATTTCTATAAGGTCCGAGATACAGAGAAGGCTCTCGTTTTAAGCCTCAGAGATTCTCTTATGGATAGTTTCCTCCACCACGCTGAGATTAGATGAGGCGTTAGAGGTGAAAAGGTCCTTGTAAAATTGAGCAATGGTACCCGCAATTCTTCCCTCTTCAAAGAACGCATTCCCATCCTCATCTTTGATGGCCGCAAAGTTATTAAGGGTTTTTCTGCTACAGGTAACTATGTGGAAGAAGCTTGTGTTTTTATCTCCCGCCTGCAACCATAAGATTCTGCTACGTTGACGCCAATAGCTTTCCTCTTCAGCATAAGCCTCTTCCAGTTCCAGTGAGAGCTTCCCAATAAGGTCTGGGTTGGGAGAGATATAGGATAATGCCTCTTCCAGCTCTTTTTGACCTTTCAGAATACGATCTTTTGATAATCGATTTTGTTCCTTGGTCCATTCAATGATTTTAGTCCTGACCAGACAGATTTTGGATAGCAGGGACACACCAGGATTACTTGACCAGGACTCCTGAATAACATCTCGAACTTCAGGTTTTTTCAGTCAACCTTTTATCAAATCTGAACAACCCTTTTCTTTTCTTAGCATAACTATCCAAAAAGATCAACATTGGCCTATGATCAGAACCCTCAAATCTGAAGTAATTACAATGAGCTGCTGGTAACATTTCAGACCAAGAACAATTACCCATTGCCTTATCTAATCGAGATTGAATGAAGTGGGTATAACAGGTTCCCCTCCAAGATAGTGAGTTGCTTGTATGAGGTAGATCCCATAAGTCCATCTGAGAAACAAAGTTGCGGAAAGCAACAAAGGAGCCTTCCCATCTGGCTGGACCTCCTACCTTCTCTGAATTATCCAAGAGATCATTGAAATCCCCTGTCACTAGCCATGCACTATCCCTAGTTGCTCCAATACACATCAGTTTCTCCTAAAACGGAGCACGATCTTCCTGTCTTGGCGCTCCATAGACAAACGAGATGAAGCAGACATCTTTTCCAACTGTTATCTTAGTATCAATGAGATTGGCTGAAGACTCAATCACTTCAAGATCAATTCCTTCCTTCCAGGAGAGAGCTAACCCCCCGCTAGCGCCAACTGGGGGGACGGTGTAGTGGCATGAGTACTCTGTTTGCTGGAATTGATTAAACACAACTTCATCTGCATTTTTTGTCTCCATCAGAAAAACAATATCCGGGAATGGGCGAGAGCGTAATTCCCGTAGTCGACGAACTATAAGGGGGCTCCTAATCCCTTGACAGTTCCAAGCCACTAGGGCTAAGGAAGGGCCTTTCCCAGAGGCCGAAAATTCAAGGGCTTTGAGATAGCTGGAATGATATTAATTCTAGGAGCTGCAGCAGCCACACGGTCAGAATCAGAAGGTCTAGCAGACTGCTCAGAAGCCAATCTCCGGCGTGGAGAATTTTGGACTTTAGCTGTTCTTCTTTTGCTCAGACTAACCCCGTGAAGGGGTCTTTTCACAACTCTTCTCCTAGCATTAAGTCGTTCCGAGGGTTTTTTTTTGGGAGCAGGCTTTGCTTTAGCAGTGGTTCCCTTCGCTTTAGGCTTAGGTCCCCTCTTTTTCGCTGGAGGCCGGGGGGAAGGCACTGGAACATCAAGGTCAAGTGGATTATCTTGGCCACAAGGGTTAAGTTCTCCCAGTCTAAGGGAAACATGCACTCTATCTTCCTCCAAAGATCGAATAAGAGAGCTTGGAGGAAAGGAGAGGCGAGATTGAATAGGGGCTTTTGAGGAAGAGGGTGCTGCAGAGCCCATCAAGTGTGGAATATCAAGCGTTTCCTCCAGGTATCTTACTTCGACGTCTTGTAATCTCTCTCCTGAACCTGAAGATCCTCCATGATGGGGAATAGAGTCCCTAGGGTAGAGTAGAGAAAGACGATCTAAAGTCGGTCGTCTGCCTTTAGAACAGCTAGTATCCTCCAGGTTTGTGTGGGAAGAGGGAGGAGCCATCACCTCTCTATCTGATCTCGGGGGAGGTGTGTGGGAGGTCTGGTGAAAGGCCTTTTGGACCCACATTTTAGTAGTACTCACATTCCTGGAAGGAGCAGGGTCAGAGCGATTTATAGTTCCGGATAGACGTTGAGTAACCGGCACTTGATGCTGGTGTGGGGGGGCCTCCATGGGGCACTCTGCTCTATCAGAACTTCGCTGCTTAGAGCTAATCCTTCCTTTGTCCCCTAAGGAAGTTTTATATCCCAGCATTCGAGAGTCCCTATCTGAGCTTTCCCTAAACGAAGGAGTTCTTTAGTTAGTAGAATCCCAGCGCTGGTTAGAGTCACCAGTCCGGCGATATTGAGTTAATTCCCTCTCGTAGTCACCAGAATTGTCGGAGTAGTCCCTGGATCGTTTCCTCTCATCCTGTATGCGTTTATTGGCATCCAGACGATCAAGGGTTCTTCTACGACTGATTCCTAGTTGTCAAGGTCGGCGATTGGCGGAAGCTTGTTCAAGAGGACAATCTTTTTCCTCGTGAGTCAGAGAGTGGCAGGTGAAACAATGCTTCTCTAATTTATCATAGACCAGCTCCACCTTCATCACTTCCCCACAAGGGAGGTTGATGTCAAGTTTCATCTCTAGAGGTCGGCCCATTAATGGACACACGGACACTGCCTTGGTTCACATCGACATCTTCAACTGGTCCTAGTTCAGAACCAATTGTCTCTAAAGCTTGGTTCGTCCTGTAGTGGAGAGGTAGACCATTGATTTGGATCCAAAAAGAGATCCTCTAGGGAAAGTTGTCTGAAACAATCGGTTCCCACCTTTGAAGGATAAACATCCAGCGCTTAAAATGATACGGAGCTCTCTTAAGGATGGCCTTGAGGTCATGTTCATTTTCAAATTTGAACTGGAAGAGGTGGGGACCCAGATCCCGTCCAGTGATAGATCCGGTGACTGTCTAGTGCTGTAAGAAGAAATCCACTAGGGCTCGAGTATTCTGAACAGCAGCATTGGTAAACGCGCCCTATGAGAGTGAATCTGTTCTCTGAAATTAAGTTGGAGCTATTAGAGCATGTACAACGTGGATCCGTTAGGAATCCTTAGCGTTAATACATATGCAAATGGCCATTTAAAAATAAGAAAACAATCTTGTGAGCGAATGATTGATTCTTAAATAAGGAGTTTAGGATTAAATCTTTAACTACCTGGCATCCTCTCCCAATCTCTCTCTCTCGCCCTCGATATTCTCCTCTTTCTCTTGACTTCCTTCTTCTATTTTTGTGTGATGATGAAGATCTGGAAACCAAAACAGATGAGGAGAATTCAATTCAGGCTGCAGAGGTGATTGCCAAAGTGATTCAACAATCTCAGAAGATTAATGATGATGATGCTCCAGAGAAGAAATTGACTGAAGCAGAGGTGGTTGACGAAGTGATTCAACAGTCTCAGGTATCTATATCCTTCTGGGAATCTTGACCTAGAGATATGATGTTAGTAGCTGATGGCAGGGAATTAGTTTTTGAGGATCGAATTCTAGACATAGAAGCTTTTTGGGAAGAACCTCTCTGATGATGTTCATGTTGGTTTTGGCTTTGGTGACTGGGTTGGAAGAATTTAATGTAAAGGACAACAAATGTCCATGAGAGGTATCTTGCGCACAGCGTACTCGATAAAATGCTTCTGAACTTGGGAAGAGATAAGCTACAAAATATGCAGAAAAAAATACAGAAATCATGGAGGTTTAAGCTCAAATGCCGACCAAGGCAAAGAGCATTAGAAGATAACATGTTCTGTGATTGGAGTTTGGCGTATCTCCTTAGCATTTTGAAGGCAAAAGAGAGCAGCTTGGAGGAGACTTTTTGGAAAATATTAAGTATTTCATAAAGACAGTCATTGTCAAGAACATCTAGTCTTTTTTTAATCCTTTGGGAAATGTTGAGATACACATTACATACTTCATATTTGTGTCTGCAAATAAAGGTGAAACATTGATATAAGAAGTTTTTTACTATGACAGGTGATGAGTGATCCTAGTGGAATAAGCAAAGGCTCGGGTTTTATTGCTTTCGCAACTCCTGAAGAAGCAACAGATGATGATGCAGTGTATAGGATGATTATGTGATTAACAGAAAATATGTGTGTTGCGTTTTGGTTTATCAGTGTTTGAGGTAGATTCTTTGGGGATGATGATGAGAAATATATGTTTTACATGCTTTCTTTAATTCTTCAATCTTAAGGGAGCAGGTATAGTTTCTGTTGATGTGGAGAAGCTTAGGAATGCTGGTCTCTGCACTGTTGATGGTGTTGCATATACTCCAAGAAAAGATCTTTTGCAGATGAAAGGAATCAGTGATGTCAAGGTTGACAAATCGTTGAAGCATGCATGTCATATGAAAAAAATTCACATTCCTTTAATCCTTTTTAGAGTTTATGCATTTTCTTATTTGTGTGTTTTTATCTCTGTGACAGCTTCGAAACTGGTTCCTTTGGGTTTCACTAGTGCTAGCCAGCTTCACAGAGACAGGAAATCATTCAGATTACCTCTAGATGACGAGAGCTCCACAAAGTTCGTAAAGGTCGGTTTCTAGTTTTCTAGTTCGTAAAGGAGGCATTGAAACCGGATCCATTACTGAGTTATATGGTCAGTTGAGTTCCGCTCTGGGAAGACTCATTTGTGCCATACACTGTGTGGAACTTGTCAAGTAAGAACCATTTTTTTCTGAACATACCACTTAGCTAGTGTTGGTTATCTAGTAGGAACTTGAAAAATTCTTAGTTGTGTTTTGCAACATTGGGAAATATATTCACATTGAGGTTTGTTAAGTTCTTAAACATGGAAAATGAGATATATAGTATCTTTAAAAATTAAATATTTTTTTTTTCTAAAAACTCTAAAATGAAATACACCGTTGGACACATATTTTTGATAAGAATCCTTCACTATTCAAAAAAAAATTAAAAAAAAATAACTTTAATAGTTCTAAGGACTCCAATGGTGGTAACACCATTGGAGATGCTCTTAGAGCAAGATTAACCATGAATCTCCATTGGAGTGTCTTAATGAATATTTAAAAATAAAGTTAAGTTAAGAACTTTGTTAAGAGATAGCTATAGTTTGAGTGTTTCAATGCAAAAACTCTATTAAGGGTTCTTAAAAAAAAAGTTTCAAAGTTATGTAAAAGAGTAGAAAAACTTCCAACAATTATCACGGACCAACGTTGGGTAGACAATAACAATGGTAGAAGCTTTGGCTTTGGGACGACATAATTGCACGGGGGCCATGAGACACTGTAATAATCCACTCCATACCACCCACTAGATGTTAAGACATTCCACTATGTGATCTGAGGAAGATGTGATATTATTAACCATGGAGTGTGAGCGTGAAGATGTTTCATTACAACGAGTAGGCTCAGTAGTTCTGTTTTGGTTTCCTCTTTGAAGCAAAGCCATAACCTGCAATGAACTATAACTTAAAAGTTTAGCTTTGTTTAGCATTTGATTTTCAAGGAACATTCAAAGATTAGAATATGAAATATCATCTGTGGAATAAGCTCTATATTGAGTGAGACCAGCTGCCATAATTCCCTAATTTCAAAGCAAATGAATGAAACCACTGTGTTCAAATTCAAAAGATAGCTTAAGTTTAATGTTTACCTGTTTATCTTCATGGAGTATGAGAGGTCTACCAGGAGAAAGAAAACAGAACCCTTCCTTCAAGCACTGCTTCCAACAAATTATCACCTGCAAACATAAAACAAAATGCATATACTCAATAATTGCAATTCACTCCAACCAAATAGCTAATAAGTACAATCGTTTTCATGAGTCATGATGTTTCGTAATCAACACATCCATATAGAATCTTAGCAGTTTATGCAAACAGTACCAGCCGATACGAAGCCATCTAATCATCTAAGAGAATAGTGCAAGTTGAAATCAATGGAGGAACAAACTGTAAACGCAGAATCGAGAGGATAAACAGGAGAGAAGAGTGAAACAATGTTCTACCTGTTCCCTGTTGTTACAAATGAGGAAATCCCTTTCCGAAGACGAGACAAGCTTGTGGATATCCCTAGAAATCTCAGCCATGGATTGTTTGGAGGAGTGGTCTGATCACGGAATCGAATTGTTATCACGAAGACTGGTCTCTGTTTCTTCCTTTAAGCACTAGAGTATTGCACCTTCTCCTCTTCTTCAGAATCAGATTCATCAGAGCTCGAAGAAGAGCTAATTAGAAAACCCAGAAGGAGAAAAAGATTACCTTGGTGGCGGATTTTTTGCCCCATGGCGAATTTGAGAAGAAATATTTTCAGTTTAGGGTTTTAAAGAGAGAAGTGGAGTCTTGGATCGTGGAGGAGATTGATGCGAGGCGGAGTAATGAACCAAGGCGAGATCCACCCAGGAAGAATGGAGTGAAATTCAATCGTCGAAGACATCCTTCGGACGAGAGAGAAGAAAAAACCAAATTCTGCTTCTTTTAACACGTGTCCCGTAAGATCCACTTCTTCTTCCTCTTAACTAAGATCCAACTCTTAATGTATTTGCTATTTTTCCTTTATTTTAATTACAATTACTAGAGACTTTTTCCCAGATTTTTTGACATATATTCATTTTAATTTAGATTATTTTATTTTGTATTTAAATATATATATATATATTTTTACATTTAAATTAATTACGCTATTTAAATTATTAGACAAATTTATAGTTTGTGTTGTTTTTAGTGACTACAATTTTGAAGCTATTAAAATTCAATATCATACTATACATAGAATTTGGTCAGCATGTTGAATTTTTTTTTTTTACTAAATCCTATTTAAAATGAAATTATTAGTTTGTTTCGTTTATTTGAGTTTTATGGAAATATGGCTAAATTAATGTATAATTTAAATCTTTTTTTACGTTAAAATTTAAGTACTAGTTATCAATTTTTTTTGCTATAAATATGTATTAATTTTTTTTTATGTGTTTAAGAAGTAAAAAAAACTAAGAGGAATTGAAATCTAAGAGTATGTACATTAAGAAAACCATGAAATCACGTTAAATACTTTTATTTTTATGCAGCAAAAAAAAATTCAGAATAAAATATCAAAAATAATAATATTCTCTAAAATCTATTCTTGTTTCTATCCTTAAGAAAATCTAAAGAATTGATGATTTAAAAAAACTTGATAATTTATTCTTAATCAAGTTAATCAAACATAATATCCATGGGTTAGACAAAAATAAATATTTCTCCTACTTCAAGCTGTCTATAAGGGGATATATAGTATTAGCTTCTGTTCATTTTCACGATTAGAACATTTTTCACTTACTTTTCCATTTTAACATAGCCCACTAAAATCAGTTTCTTTAACATGAGGATTTCCACATTAAAAAAAAAATTGTTCCTTTTCTCTTTTGTTATTGAACTTTGTATTGTTTTATATATATGATTAAAAACAGCTTTAAAATATTTATGACTTCATAAAATTTGGTCACCAGAATAAACTGATTAATATATTCCAAATTTATCTGTCTAATTGAAATAAAAATAATATTAATTCAAATATATTTTGACAAAAATATAACAAAAATACGTAATTTACAAAAACGAAATATATATTTTATACTAAGTCCCAAGATCAATATTTAAAATCTATACTAATATTGTTTGAAAAACAAACATTTGATTTTGCTATAATAAATAAAACACATAAAAGTTAAAAAAAAAACAAATAGCACCTACACACTTTTAAGTATTTAGGTCAAAAAATTTATCAAATTTTAAATTAATATAAAATGCAAAAAATAATAATTTATCTATAGAAACATAAAATATATTAAAAATATACTTATATCTAATATATGAGATAAATAAGACTATTAAAAACAAAAGTAAAATTATACACATAATTACAATATAATAACATAATTCATACATTTATAAATTATAAAATAGAAAGTACATAATTTACTAAAACATTCACACTAATCGTAAAGGAATGATATCATATTTCCAATCGTATTTTATAATTTATCTTATGTAAAATGATGAAAAAAAATGAAAAAAAAAATAGGATTTATATAACGAAAATACGTAATTTACGAAGACATTTACACTAATTGTTGTTACATTGAGAGTTTGGCTCCTCCTACCAATAATAAAAGAGAAAACTGGACCGATCAAAATCAATATCTTTATCAGTGCTTGTCCAAATCACAAAGTATTCAAAATATTTCAAGTCTGAACAAAATTCAAGTAAAGTTATAAAGGCACTAAGACAGAACGGCATTACGTATCCTTAGCCTACTACGATTAAAAAACAAAAAAGAATCTTAGTTTTTTTTTCTTCTTCTTAGTGCTGTAAACAAACAATATCTTTGTCTTCAGGCAAAGCAAGACTTGAGAAGATGGTTCAGAGGAAGACTTGTCAAACAACCGAGTCTTATAATCTCCAACCTGAAACTCCGTTTGGTCAAGAACATCTGAAGAGCCTTGGGCCAGAGATGATGACGATGAAGAAGCGAACCAAACCTAAAAGGAAGGTTATTGACAGTCCTGTTTCTCAACCAGGTAAGCCACAATCAACACCAAAGAAAAATGATCTTGTTGTTGTTAAAGGGACAGGTATGTCGCCTAACTACATGAAGGGAACCTCTAGCTCTGAGGCAAGGAAGGAGAACAAGAGTAGACTTAATCTTACAAAGAATCAGAAGAACAAAACCGGTCTGAAACATGATTCTCGGCATGGAGTTAACAACAAGCCGAGTTCGAGGATCGTTAGGGGTTTGACAAAGGCTCCAAGTTTCAAGAGCTGCGCACAAAGAGCTTCCATATTATCTGATGCTTCATCATGGTGCAACTGATGATCAAGTTAGTGGAACTTTTGTCTTGAAAGTATGTCCTTACATGCATTGTTCACTCAACGACCATCTTCACAAGCATTATCCTCCTCTGAAAACCTTTATATCCTCTAGGAGAAGGAGTTTGAAGTCTCAGAAGAGTGTCAAAACAGAAGCTTCCAAGGAAGGTTTTGTGTAGATGTATGTAGAGGAGAAGAAAGAGTATGCGGTCAATGTTGTTACTCAAATCTCAGAAGCTCTCTCCGTAGGAGCACCTTGTTCTGAAAACCGATTCTGTTGGTTACACTGAGATCGAAAAGACTTTATTAGCTGAATCTGTGATAGAGATCCATGCTGAAACGTTAATTAAAAGAGAAACTTGTTAAGCATTGGTGACAAACTTGTGAAATATATAAGTAATGATTCTAGATCTTTACCATAATAAAGGGCTGCTGGTAGGCATTTGGAACATAGCAAAACAGAAGGATCCGTAACATCACTGGTAAGCAATGGTATCAATGAGCGGTCAAAGGAAGAAACTTGACCATGTAAACCCACTCCTCCATACTGGTAAACAGAAGCCTACACACACAAAAGAACACTGCTTGATTAAAAAAAAAACTGAGAGTGTAAATGTAAGAACAAAAACAAAGCTGATTCAGACCTTCTTCGCCTCATGAATCTCCGAACCTTTCGGTTGTGAATCCAAAGTAAGCTTCTGCAACATATCAGCAGATTCTTAAAGCAATGTGAATCAAGGAAACAAAGACCATTCAGTGAGAAATCAACGATTAGAATAGTGAAAAGCAAACATCTTTATTCCTGCATAGTTTTCAAATCAATCATTCGTTTACTTTCAAATTGATTTGCATCAATTACTCAAAGAAACCCTAACCCTAAATCTACGTAATCTCATATAAATCTGAAAAACTGACAAAAATCGAGTCAGAACACTGGGAGAGTGAGAGAAACTGAAACTCGAATCGAGATCCAATTAAAACAAAAACAGATGGAGAAACGTAAAAGAAAAAGGATACGATCAGGGGTTTGAGCAATGGTAGCCATGATAACTGATTTCGGCAACGTAGATTTGATAGATCCTTCTCGGATAACGGGTTGCCACCAAAAGGGAGAGAGATAGAAACCCTAGAAGGAATCAGAGGAACCCAGGATCGAATCTATTCATGTATATAACAGATGGCAATCGGTTGAGAATAAAAAACGACAAAGAAGAACACAAAAGGGGAGAGACCCCCCCCCCCCCTTAAGTAGCGGGTAAGTAGAAAATAGTGTTTCTCTTTGATGGGCCAGAAACAAATCAGACGGATTGAAGAAAAAAAGCCCAACATTACCTAGATTAGATGTGACGTGGGGAAAAACTGGCTTTCTACTAGTTGATTATTTTAGTTGACGTGGACACAGTCAAAGTCCTTTATATGCTGCTTTTAATATTGTTAGATACTTTAAGAACTTCTTTAAGAACCACCGTTAATTCTGGTCTTAGTGTCCGGGATCTTAATTGGGGCCCGCCGAGGAGGATGTGTGGAGTCTCTACACCATTTACCTTTCTCCGGTCGTAAGTATCGATGAGACATATGTTACAAGCTGAAAGAATAGAGTACGCAGCCAGCATGAACTTTAATACCGAAGTAGATGTTGAAGATTCTGGACTGCTCATTGTAAAAGCCTTCAGCGATGAGGTAAATTGCAGAACCACGAAGAAGAAAAAGAAGCCCCTCAAAGACGAGGTAAGTGAAGATGCAAGTGGAGCTTGTAGATGTCAATGGTCTTCCGTGACTAACTAAGCGACGAAGTCACTGATGCTGGAGGCATTAATCGTTACTACATAAGGCATGCGGAGTGGTGGGTTACCATGTGGAAGCAGGATATGCTGAGATGGAGAAGGATAAACTAAGGGTTTATGTCTTGACGTAGTCGCTGAAATAGTTGCTGATGCAGTGTGTGTCAGAGAGTGAACCAGGAGACATGTAGAGTGGTAGAGACCATGTGGATGCAAGATGCTGAGCTGGCGTGGGATAAACTTGAGGAGCAAGTTTATACCGTGGTGAAAAGGCAAGAGATAAACTTGGAGACCAAGTTTATGCCTTGAGGAATAAGTACAAATCCAAGAAAAGGAAAGTGTACTTATTAATATGGAAGTTTTCCATATATCCATGTTGCCTTGGAGACTAGGGTTTCAGGAACGTGGAGATCACTTTAAAAGAGCTATGAAGTCGTGTGTATTCCATAAGACACTTGGGGCTTTTATTATAGAGGAAGGGTGAAAATCCCTTAGGGTGTTCTTGGGTCGTGCTGAAGCAGATCCTGAAGCATACGACGATGAAGAGACAAGTTTGGGTAGATTAGGAATCTTTCAATAGCAGTTGTTTGGGTGTTAACAGGCTGTGTAAAGCTGATAAGCAAGTCTTATAATATATTGTTTAAAGATGATTTCTAATAAAGCAAAGATGTTGCTTGTATCTATTTTGTCTCTTGATTTATCTTCTGCAGTACTTAATTGTGGTGTCATCTTTGCACTTACAATTGGTATCAGAGCGGGTCACCTAAGTTACTGGTGTGATGCTGAAGGTGAAGATGTACACGGTTGTTTGCAGAAGACAATCATGTTGGTTGATGGCCAGTTTGGTCATGAGAAGGCGTGCATGAAGTTGTTGGTTTGAGGAATCAATAAAGGTGTGTGGGTAGCTGTGAAGACTGTGTGGGAGGAGCTTACGGTGGTCACAGCAGAGGAGAAAAAGTCCAGTCGAAGGAGCCAAGACAAGGCAAGGAGTTGTTCGACAAGTAGTTCGGCGAATGCGTCAGAGGCTGATGCAGTATACATGAAGGAGCAGACGTGTGTGTCTGTAGGCTTGACATCTAAGCATATGTGTTTTAACTTAGTATGCAATCAAGCAGGGGGAGAAGTGATGATGTTCTGGTCCAAGGAGTGCATATCTCGTGGGGGAGAAGAGCATGGTGATGGACGTCCTGATGTAGATGGTGCATATCACGTGGGGCGGGGGAGGAGAAGAGCATATCTATGTGTGAAGATGAAGATAGTGCAAGTCTCGTGGGGGAGAATGGCATATCGAGTGTGGAGGTTTCCAGGTGAGGAAACGTGGTTGTTGAACCAGAAGAGTATTGTGTTTGATTGGCACACAAAGCTAAAAGGGGGAGATTGAAGATGCAAGTGGAGCTTGTAGATGTCAATGGTCTTCCGTGACTAACTAGGCGACGAAGTCACTGATGTTGGAGGCATTAGTCGTTACTACATAAGGCATGCGGAGAGATGGGTTACCATGTGGATGCAGGATATGCTGAGATGGAGAAGGATAAACTGAGGGTTTATGTCTTGACGTAGTCGCTGAAGTAGTTATTGATGCAGTGTGTGTCAGAGAGTGAACCAGGAGACATGCAGAGTGGTAAAGACCATGTGGATGTAAGATGCTGAGCTGGCGTGGGATAAACTTGAGGAGCAAGTTTATACCGTGGAGAAAAGGTAAGAGATAAACTTGGAGAGCAAGTTATGCCTTGAGGAATAAGTACAAATCCAAGAAAAAGAAAGTGTACTTATTAATATGGAAGTTGTCCATATATCTATGTTGCCTTGGAGACTAGGGTTTCAGGAACGTGGAGATCACTATAAAAGAGCTATGAAGTCGTGTGTATTCCATAAGACACTTGGGGCTTTTATTATAGAGGAAGGGTGAAAATCCCTTAGGGTGTTCTTGGGCCGTGCTGAAGCAGATGCTGAAGCATACGACGATGGAGAGAAAAGTTTGGGTAGATTAGGAACATTTCAGTAGCAGCTGTTTGGGTGTTAACAGGCTGTGTAAAGCTGATAAGCAAGTCTTATAATAGATTGTTTAAAGATGATTTCTAATAAAGCAAAGATGTTGCTTGTATCTATTTTGTCTCTTGATTTATCTTCTGCAGTACTTAATTGTGGTGTCATCTTTGCACTTACAATTGGTATCAGAGCGGGTCACCTAAGTNGCAGCTGTTTGGGTGTTAACAGGCTGTGTAAAGCTGATAAGCAAGTCTTATAATAGATTGTTTAAAGATGATTTCTAATAAAGCAAAGATGTTGCTTGTATCTATTTTGTCTCTTGATTTATCTTCTGCAGTACTTAATTGTGGTGTCATCTTTGCACTTACAATTGGTATCAGAGCGGGTCACCTAAGTTACTGGTGTGATCTTGAAGGTGAAGATGTACACGGTTGTTTGCAGAAGACAATCATGTTGGTTAATGGCCAGTTTGGTCATGAGAAGGCGTGCATGAAGTTGTTGGTTCGAGGAATCAATAAAGGTTCGTGGGTAGCTGTGAAGACTGTGTGGGAGGAGCCTACGGTGGTCACAGCAGAGGGGAAAAAGTTCAGTCGAAGGAGCCAAGACAAGGCAAGGAGTTGTTCGACAAGTAGTTCGGCGGATGCGTCAGAGGCTGATGCAGTACACATGAAGGAGCAGACGTGTGTATGTAGGCTTGACATCTAAGCATATGTGTTTTAGCTTAGTATGCAATCAAGCAGGGGGAGAAGTGATGACGTTCTGGTCCAAGGAGTGCATATCTCGTGGGGGAGAAGAGCATGGTGATGGACGTTCTGATGTAGATGGTGCATATCTCGTGGGGGGGGGGAGAATAGCATATCTATCTGTGAAGATGAAGATAGTGCAAGTCTCGTGGGGGAGAATGGCATATCGAGTGTGGAAGTTTCCAGGTGAGGAAACGTGGTTGTTGAACCAGAAGAGTATTGTGCTTGATTGGCACACAAAGCTAAAAAGGGAGATTGAAGATGCAAGTGGGGCTTGTAGATGTCAATGGTCTTCCGTGACTAACTAGGCGACGAAGTCACTGATGCTGGAGGCATTAGTCGTTACTACATAAGGCATGCGGAGTGGTGGGTTACCATGTGGATGCATGATATGCTGAGATGGAGAAGGATAAACTGAGGGTTTATGTCTTGACGTAGTTGCTGAAGTAGTTGCTGATTTAGTGTGTCAGAGAGTGAACCAGGAGACATGCAGAGTGGTAGAGACCATGTGGATGCAAGATGCTGAGTTGGCGTGGGAAAAACTTGAGGAGCAAGTTTATACCGTGGAGAAAAGGCAAGAGATAAACTTGGAGAGCAAGTTTATGCTTAAGGAATAAGTACAAATCCAAGAAAAAAAAAGTGTACTTATTAATATGGAAGTTATCCATATATCCATGTTGCCTTGGAGACTAGGGTTTCAGGAACATGGAGATCACTATAAAAGAGCTATGAAGTCGTTTGTATTCCATAAGACACTTGGGGCTTTTATTATAGAGGAAGGTGAAAATCCCTTAGGGTGTTCTTGGGCCGTGCTGAAGCAGATGTTGAAGCATACGACGATAGAGAGACAAGTTTGGGTAGATTAGGAATATTTCAGTAGCAGCTGTTTGGGTGTTAACAGGCTGTGTAAAGCTGATAAGCAAGTCTTATAATAGATTGTTTAAAGATGATTTCTAATAAAGCAAAGATGTTGCTTGTATCTATTTTGTCTCTTGATTTATCTTCTGCAGTACTTAATTGTGGTGTCATCTTTGCACTTACAATTGGTATCAGAGCGGGTCACCTAAGTNGCAGCTGTTTGGGTGTTAACAGGCTGTGTAAAGCTGATAAGCAAGTCTTATAATAGATTGTTTAAAGATGATTTCTAATAAAGCAAAGATGTTGCTTGTATCTATTTTGTCTCTTGATTTATCTTCTGCAGTACTTAATTGTGGTGTCATCTTTGCACTTACAATTGGTATCAGAGCGGGTCACCTAAGTTACTGGTGTTATCGTGAAGGTGAAGATGTACACGGTTGTTTGCAGAAGACAATCATGTTGGTTGATGGCCAGTTTGGTCATGAGAAGGCGTGCATGAAGTTGTTGGTTCGAGGAATCAATAAAGGTGTGTGGGTAGCTGTGAAGACTGTGTGGGAGGAGCCTACGGTGGTCACAGCAGAGGGGAAAAAGTCCAGTCGAAGGAGCCAAGACAAGGCAAGGAGTTGTTCGATAAGTAGTTCGGCGGATGTGTCATAGGCTGATGCAGTACATATGAAAGAGAACACGTGTGTGTCTGTAGGTTTGACATCTAAGCATATGTGTTTTAGCTTAGTATGCAATCAAGCAGGGGGACAAGTGATGACGTTCTGGTCCAAGGAGTGCATATCTCGTGGGGGAGAAGAGCATGGTGATGGACGTCCTGATGTAGATGGTGCATATCTCGTGGGGGGA